GGTTTAGGGAAGTGTTGGAGGTTTGGGGGTGATTGAGTGAGTTGTGGTCTCTGAATGGAGAGAGGAGAGGAAAGTGGGGGTCCCAGATGTGAAGCTAACATCTTTGGTAGCTTTTAAACAAGAGAATGAAATAACCAGATTGCTTTGTTACAATGCTAACTATCTTGTAAAGAATGAACTTGGTATATATGGAGGCTGGAGGCTAGAGGAGTTGTTGTTGTTCAGTCGCTCAGTCATGTCTGACTCATTGTGACCCCATGGTCTGCAGCACACCAGGGTCCCCTATCCTTTCCTGTCTTCTGGAGTTTGCTCAAGCTTATGTTCATTGAGTTGGTGATGCCATCCAACCATCTCATCCTCTGTCACCTCCTTCTCCTGCCTTCAATCTTTCCCAGCCACAGGGTCCTTCCCAGTGCATAGGCTGTTCGCATCAGGTGGCCAAAATATTGGAGCTTCAGCTTTAGCATCAGTTCTTCAATGAATATTCAGGGTTGATTTCCTTTAGGAGTTGACTGGGTTGTCAATTGCAGTCCTTGCTGTCGAAGGGACACTCAAGAGTCTTCTCCAGCATCACAGTTCGAAAGAGGCACTGGCTACAGAGGATAGGGCAGATTGGAAAGACATTTTGAGATCTGAGCAGTTTGAAGATCCTTTGGTGGTGAGGGGCAGGTGGGGAATCAAGGGCGATGCTGTGTTACTAGCTTAAGAACTAGGTAGATGATGGTCATGCATACAGGAAGTAGGGTGTTTGGCCAAATTTAATTTATGAGTTCCCTTTCTAACATGTTGAGTTTGAGGTGCTTGTAAGGTATCTGGGCAGAGGTGTCCAGAAATACTGTCCAGTAGAACTTCCAGCTGTGATGAAGTGTTCTGTGTTTGCTGTCCACAGTGGTAGCCACTAGCCACCTGTAGCTATTGAGCAGCTGGAGAGCTGAATTTTAAATTTTATTTCATTTTGGTTAACTTAAATGTAAGTAGCCACATGTGGCCAGTGGCTACCAGATTTGAAAGTGCAGGTCTTTCATAATGGTTGGAAATACTGATCTGGAGCTAAGGCTGGGATGGGGTGGTTAGGCTTCCTGGGACTGAGAGGGGCACTGGACTCTCAAATGCTAAAACTGGAAAAGGTCCAGGCAAACTGATTGTGGTTCATCCTAGCCAGAGGTGTTAGTGGCCTGTAATTATGACTTTAGTTGTCATGTTTCTCAAACAACTAAGTCTCCTCAGCTGCTTCCTGGAATGGCTATGGCATGGTCTGCAGCTTGGAAAGAAAATTCCCTTTCTTGGCATTAGGGGGTTAGAAAATAGAAAACCAGCATGATTCTTGAAACACGTGCTTTGCCTGATATTCTCCTTGTTTTCTCCACGTCTTCCTTTTTCTTCCATTCCGTTCTCCTATGTAGTGAGTCTGTTCTTTGGCTGCACATTAAAATCACCTGGGGTGCTTACTTCTTATAAAAAAATATGGCTGTTCAAGGTCCACCTAGTTAAATCAGAATCTTGGGTTGGGGGTGGGTGGAGAGGGCATTAGGCAGCTGTAGGATTTAAAAGCTCCTCAGGTGATTCTGTTGTGCAGCCAGGATTGAAAAGTACGGCTTCAGACATACCTATACTTCTTTGGCACCTTCTGTTTTTTTACTACACAAACTACAAGTGATCTTTAGCACCCCTCCCCTGCTCCTTTTATTTGGTGGAGGGTAATAGTACTTAGCATTTCAGATATTTTGCCATCTTTCAGGTCACGTATGACAGAAGTTAGTCTGAGACTGAAGGGTGTTAGGGAGCAGCCTAACCTCTTGTCATACACGTACCTTGTGTAAGGATTGACATACCTTGATGTAACAGTAATAGGTTTAACAAAAACTCAGGATCTTTCATCTTACTTGTGACAAATGGGGTCCTTTAGTTAAGGCATGTGAACGCTCAGTTGTGGCATGTGGGATCTCCTTCCCTGAGCAGGGATCGAACCTGGACCTCCTGCCTTGGGAGCGTGGAGTCTTAGCCACTAGACCTCCAGGGAAGTCGCAACAGTTGAATGTTTTACTATGCCCAAGTGTCCTTGTATCTTACATATTAGTCCACCTACTCTTAGTAACAATACTATGAGAGACGTACAATTGTTACTCCTATATGCCAGATGAGGAATCTGAGACTCAGAGAATAACCAATTTGCCCAACGCCCATGGATAAGTGAAGTGCTTGGGCTGCATTTTTAAGTTACTGTGCCATGTGACTTTATGGTGAAATATACTTTAAGGGATGATGTCTTCCCAAGCTGCAGGTATCTTTCCTGTGAAAGAGCTGGTCAAAATAATTTCTTCTTTTTTGTTGATTAATTCAACATTTGGAAGATTTCTCTCATCAAATCACTTGAGTTGTGCAATTCATGGTAAAAGTTTTTCAAACTGTGAGCCAGGTGTGAAACGATATGGCTTACTTTGTGATGCTTTGGCATTGCCAAAAAAGAAGTAGCTGAATAACATAGGTCACTACAGTGTTTATAAGTTTTGCTTAAAATGGGGTTGCATATATATCCACTATGATATATGTGTATGTGACTATTGTTTAGGGCAGTGAGCTTGGTTTTTTAATTTCAAAGAAATAGGAATATATGAGTAAATGTTTCTATGTCCTATTCCCCAAGTGCCTCTTCCCACTACTAAATGGTTGAATTCTTCCCATACTTTTTCTACCCCTGGGCAGGTACTTGGTGTCATTATTTTTTTTTAATTGTATGCAGTCATATAAAACTTATTTTCTATGGTTTCCATTAAGATATGATAGGTGAAGGGTTCATAATTAATGCTTTTCATAAAGACCCAGTAATTGGAAGTCTGGACTCTATTGGCAGTGGAATGGAAGAACAGTATCAGTTTTTTTGAAAAGGGCTTTAAAGCCATTATCTAATGTTTTAAACAGGACAAAAAATTTCTTAAGGCCAGTGTGAGATCATGGTTTTATAATCCTTTATTGCTTTTTTTTTTTTCCGGTATATCTGTAATGTAGGTCATCAAGAATAGAGCAGTAAATCAATTTTGATTTTTCAACTTTATCTAAGAATACTTTTGAATGTCAAGTAAATTGAAGCAAAGTCTCTCACTAAAATATTTATTTCTTTTTTGAAACAATATTAGATGTAGCAATAGGATTTGGGACCATGACCATAGACTACCCAGTGATGTAAGTGCATATGTTTTAGAATCTCTTAGTTCTTGTTTCTTTTTGTTAAAAAAGGAGGGACGGGACATTTTATTGAATTTTCAGACCTGAGGACAATTTAGTTCATACTCATTGGTTGGGTTTGTATGATGGCAGCTGATAAGGAGCTGGTGAGCTTCAGTCTGTGATTAATCAAATCTTTTCTGTTGAAACTATTTTTAAAAGGGGTATGTCTTTACATGTATGCATTAAGCTATCTACGGGCTAATTTTCAAAGATTCTTTTTGGGTGTGGCTTTGATAAAAATTGTCTATTCTTATTTAGATGAAATGTTGGTAAAACTTCTGGGCATTGATGGTATAATCCCATAAATATTTGTTTATTTGAATTGGATTTTAAGATTTCAGTCCTGCCATCATAGTAACTACCCTTCAGACATGTACTTTACTATATGAATTGTTTTGGGGGTGTCTGCTCCAGTGGTTAGAATCATACACTCTAGCATTAATGACTGGATTATTTGGAATGTCCTTAAAACTACAGGTTTCAGATTTTTTTATTTCTGCCTTCAGGTTCTTCGTAGGTTTAGAGAGCTCTGTCTTTTTTTTTAAGGAAAAGCTAAGCTTTTAAGTTAATTGATTTATTTTTGGCTGTGCTGGATCTTCATTGCTGTGTGGGCTCTTTTCTAGTTGCAGGGAGTTGGGGCTATTCTCTAGTTGCCACGCATGGGCTTCTCATTGCAGTGGCTTCTCTTTGCAGAACACAGGCTCTAGACACATGGGCTTCAGTAGTTGCGGATCCTGGGCTCTAGAGCACAGGCTCAGTAGTTGTGACCCACGGGCTTAGTTGCTCCATGGCATGTGGGATCCTCCAGGACCAGGGATTGAACCTGTGTCTCCTGCATTGGCAGATGGATTCTTTACCACGGAGCCACCAGGAAGACCAAAACTGAGCTTTTGAAGATAAACACCAGTTAAATTTTTTAAGTCAAAGTATAAAAATCCAAGTTTGGTTATTGCCTGGCTGCCTCGTACCAGTCAAAATGGTGCTGGTCTGGGAGTGGACAGCAATTCTTCTGGGCCCACCTTAGACATTCTGCTCCATCATTAATCCTAGATCATTCTCTTTCTTCCCACCATAAACTCTGAACATCACATTCTCAACTGTGACGATATCTAAAAATGGTGCTTTGGCTAAAAGTTGAATGCGGGGGTTCTGATCATTTTTCTGGCAGTAGAAGATTTTAAGTAGAAAACTGCTGCTTTCCCCACATAGTTGGATATATTTGCAAACAACTCCCATATTCTTGCAACTTAGAGAAATGAATCTGGCTAGGATCTGGTCATAGCTTGGTGGTTGATGATCTTGCAGTGTCTGAAAATAGTTATTCTTAGCTGAATGCTCATAGCCTAAACTTTCGTCTGTGGGTGGAGCAGATAGGTGACACTGAGTTTATTTTCTGGAGGCCAGTTTTCAAAAATACACCTCTGATTACAGTACCGCAGCCTGATCATGCTGGAAGGAACTTCAAGGAACCCCCACCTGTCTCCTTTCACAACTGCTGAACATCAGAGATGAGAAGTGACTTGTCGTGGGCATTTATGGCTCATGAGTCTTCCTAGTGACCCAGGAGAACTGAAATTTGGCTCGGGGGACTCACATCCGCTCTGGTCTCTTTTTCTTCCTTTTTCTTTAAAGCAGGAGCCCATCTTCTGTATCCTCTTCTCCACCCCACCCCCAATCTAGTAAATAGACAGTAAGGGTTAGTTGGGTTCCCAGGTTTTTCCACAGTAAACTTTTGATAGCATTGTGACATTTCTTTCCTTTTTTTTTTCTTTTAGCGATAGGTGAATATGAAGACCTTAGAGCAGAGAACCAGAAGACAAAGGAGAAGGTTTGTATTTTACCCTTTCTTTCCTCTCTTACATGTGTAAAAAGCCTAGACAGCATGGTGCATTGTTCTGCCACCAATTTCAGTTAAATGCGAATGAGAGTTGTCTTTTTAAAATTTCTTTTCTCCTGCATGTGTGGTTCAGGCTAATATCAACTCCAGGCTCCAGATGGTAAAGAATAGCAGGCTTGCCACAGTGGGCGCTGCTCTGGGGGATTAACTACACAGCTAAATGTGCAGCAAGGCACCAGGCCAAGGAACTCAGGCCCCCAAGAAGTGTACTTTTTCCAACAGTCAGATTTGGGATTCTAGTGATGGCATTGAACGCCTGAGACATTTACCTTTGGGGTTTAAGTATCTTAGATCTGGAAGGAACTCTTTGGAATTAGTCCATTGGCATTTAGCTCAAATGTCTCCATAAACCCTTTGTATGTTTGTTTCCTCTAAATATGTGAATAATATGTTGAAAATTGAAAAACACCCAATGTGAAGATGGTAGAGCCTGGTGAATATCTTTCTAGGCTCTGGCAGTTTTATTTTTTAATTGTTAAATAATTGAATTCTACTTACCTTTATGTCTCTGAACATGCTCATTTAAGATTCATGAGTTTTTTTTTTTTTTTAGCATATGTCTTCTTTTCCCTCTAAGTTTAGGGAAGGGACAAATAGGAGGGAAGGCTAAGTTTTAAGAAGTACAGGGACTAAGTAGAGAATAAAAAGGAGGAGAGAGAGAGAGCTGTCCATTATTGTTATTTAGATATAAATGAAGTTTATTTTAGAAATTAAAATTTTCTATTTTTAGAGATTTGATAGACCAAATATTTCAAAGCATAACATCCGTGATGGAAAATTAATGAAACAGGTTCTTTGTGGTTATTAAAGAAGGTGCTCATCATTGCTGCAAATTATGCAACCTTGTCTTGAAAATTTCAGAGTAAGAGATGTAATGAAAATTGGCAGAGAGATAAATATTTTGGAGGGGTAAAATAATAAATTGTGGCATATTTGGGGGGTATTTATTGAGTTCTTAAGAATTGACTTTTAATATTAAGCTCTTAACATTTAACTTTTTAACTCATGTTAATTTGCCACCTATATAGATGTTGGTGTGTTAGTATTAATGGTAAATACTCTAGTTCAAAGCACATTATAGTGGATTTTTAAATTGTTATTTTTCACTCAGATTTCTTGCCCCTTTGCTCATATTTAAATAAACCTTTGGTGTTCTATAAAATTTTAAGTATCTTCTCTTCCTTTTACTAGGCAGTGCAGGAAATGGTAGGTGGGTAATAAGAATATTTGTGATAGAAGATGGCTGGTACATGCATCTCATATGGTAAGAAGGTCACAGAAGAAAGTTTGACAGGTTTTCTAGTTCTCAGTTATTAGACATCAAAACCACAAATGTCCCAAGTCCGCCAACAGGTGGGGAGTGTGTGCCTAGATCCTGGGTCCCTGATACCCCATAATTTCAAAGCAAAGCTGATTGGTGATGCTTAAGCCAGATAGCTTGAGCCTCTTTCCTTAAGATACCCAACCATCTTCCAGCTCGGGGAGAAAGAGCCAAGATTTAGCAATTGAGTCTCCTTCATAGATGTTTCTGGTCCAAGAGTGAAAGAGCAAATCAAGTAGGAAGAGTTAATTCAGGAGAACTCTGATTTACGTAGAAAATAGGACTAGGGAAAGCAAACATGTCTCCATATGACAGAGAAGGAAGGATTTAGGAGAACATGAATAACATAAGAGGAAAAAGTTGTTTTGTTTTTTTTTCTTATCCTTCTTTAATCCCTGCTTATTTGTAGACCTAGCATTGCCCTAAAAATAGTAAACGTTCTATAAACATCTGTTATTAGTGATGATGAAGGTTGTTCAACGGCGAGCCACTTTGTGCAGCAAGTTCTTAAGTGAATCATCTGTAATACAAGCGAATGGCAGGTAAAATGCGTTTGGCAAAAGAAGGATTAAAAATTAACTTGGCCTTTTACCTGTTTACATGTTTCTCTGCACAGAGTGCGTCAGAAAGTTTTGTAACATCTCTACTGACCTGCTCCTATAATCATTCTTTAAAAATAACTATTAACAGAAATGGGAATAAAAGACATGAAAGCGATATGGAATGTTGTGTGATTGGGTAAAACAAAATAGGATGGTTTTAAGTTTACCACACTCTTGTTTATCTTGTGTTAAAAGACTAGCAGGCTTATTACTGCAGATTTTTCCCCCAAAGGGGGCTGTATGACAAAGGAGGGAAGCCTATAATAAAAGCCTTTTTATACAGCACAGAACGAGTAAAAGCAGCTTTAGTTCTGGAGGTGGTAAATGAACACCATTTTCTCTGGCAAAGCACTTTCTCCTGCCTGGCTGTGTGAGCTTTGTGCAGTCAGTCCACATCAGCAGATATTCATGGCTGTTCTTACTTCGTGACCCCGAACAAGTTCAGTTAAATTCATCCAGGATAGGAGTCTAAAGTAAGACGCCTTCTGCTGTAGTTAATTCAGTGTGGGCAAATTTTGCAGACACGGAAGGGACCAAAAAAATAAACAGCAAGTTTTTTCCTTCCACGTGTCCACATTAAGTTTAACCGTCTGTGTTGTCTGGTCACAAACCTTATCAGTGGGAAGAGACGGTGGATATGATTCCCTTGGGTAGATCTTTTTATACCCTATTTGGAATCTCCTCTGTTGAGACAAGTGGTAGGATGTGAATTTCCTCAGAACAGGCAGTTGCTGAAGAGACTCTTTTTTTAAGAAGCTACTGCAGGTCATGTACATCCCCTTATCTTCATTATCTGATGCTCCCAACAACCCTGTGCCAGCTTTGTTTCACAGGAATAAGGACCTCAGGGCTCAGCATGGGCTTCCCTGGTGGCATGGAAGGTAAAGAATCTGCCTGCAATGTAGGAGACCTGGGTTCGGTCCCTGGGTTGGAAAGATCCCCTGGAGAAGAGAATGGCAACCCACTCCAGTATTCTTGCCTGGGAGAATCCTATGAACAGAGGAGCCTGGTGGGCTACAGTCCATGGGGTAACAGAGAGTCAGACATGACTGAGTGTGTAGCACTTTCACAACCTCCTTTTCAGGGCTTAACAGAATCTAGATTCAGACATAGGTATCCTGACTACAAATACTCATTTTGAAGCAGGTAAACTTAGGGGAGCTAATTGACTTTTCCCACAAAAGTCTTGGTTTTATTCTTTATTTTTTATTGTTAGCTCAGGGATTTTCCACCAGAAATGATGAGACTCAATACTTTTCTGGGTAGTTCTTCTTTACCTTATATTGGTTTGTATTTAAAAACTGAAAGTTACATGTCAGATCAATCCTACATTAGAAAAACTCTCATGTGTGTGTGTGTTTCTGTGTGCATCTGCACATGTGTGCCCGCCTGTGCGTGCACGTGTATAGATTCTGACACAGTGCAATCCAACGGTCAGAGTAGGAGACTTGGGATGGTGGGCCAGTGTCTTAATGGTCTTTCCCTTTGCAGTTCTTCTTTTTTAAGAACAGTGTAACACGATCATTTTGTGGTTTTTATCAGTTTTTTTGAGGATGGAATCAGGATCTGAGTTGATGAAGAAACCGTGTATTGAAAGGAAAACTTTTTGCTGAATGCCTTCTGAGCACAGGGATGTAAAGAAAAATGTGCAAATAGCCCACTCTTAAGTATAAAACTACTCTAATGAGGGATACAGGCAAGTTAAAAAATGACTGTGGTGAATTGTGCGTATCCATGGACACTTAGAATTTGGGGGTAGGATGGGAAAAAGAACAGAGACAAGATGCCTACCCAATTCCAAGCGACAAACTTGTCTCTTAATGCTTGGCTTAAATATCACTTAAATATTTTTTTCAAAGTCTCTCTCTCACAAGCAAGATTATTGCTTCTTTGTGATGAAACACCTGTATATTTCTTATGTACTTATTACATCTTATCAACCAAAATTTATTATCAAAATATTATATAGGGCACAGGTAAGTTGTATGGGTTGGATTAGTGTTGTTGTTTTTTTTAAGACATCATTATAGGTGTAGATGATGGAATGGTTGTTACTTTCCACTATTTTTTTTGCCTAAGTAGCATTATCAACAATATGTTAGAAACTGAAATCAAATCACATTGATTTCAATAACCCTTCCAAATTATTTTGGGGGTAAAAGAAAAATAGAGGGCTATATATTTTGAAGTCGACCAAATGAAGTTTCACTCTGCTTGTGAAGCAGTTATCATATTTAAATGTGTTAGTCATGCTTCTACAATTGAAGGGCATCCTTTATGACTCATTCAGGATCTTTGTCATAGTCCTTTGTGGTTTTTTCCTATATACGGAGGTGGGGGGGGCAAAGCTTCTTTGAGCTTTTAATGGAATAGCTTTCACATTTCTCAGGGTGGTGGGGGTGTGTGTGGAGTGTGCATAAAAAGAAATCTGTAGAATAGAAGAATGTCTGCCTTTGAACAGTAAGTATTTATGTTTAATACTATGTTCTGAGATCGAGTTTTGAAATGAATAAATGTTTAAGTGGCTGATTAGAAGTCGTTTGGGTGAGCTACTGTAACCCTGCATCAGGCGGTCTGTCAGCTTGCCAGGAACAATGAATGAAAAGGGAAAGAGACAGACACTCTCCAAGACTTAGGTTTCAAGAAGCAAGATAGATGATACTGTTTGCATCTTGGCTCAGTCGTCTATTGTTAAAATTTCTTCATCTTGTGTAAATTTCAGAGGTGAAGGTCCCAAAGTGTTTTATTTTTAAGAAATCAATAAAGAAGCCACTCTACAGAGCAAGATATGCACCCATTATGCTAACTGTTCATGCATAATACATTCACATACATGCAGTTTCTTTAGAACAGAGGGGCAAGTGGTTGTGCCAGAGAAAAAGTAATTACTTAGCAGTTTGAAAGTGAAAATGAGTCTCTTATTAACAGCAATCTATCCAGAAACAAAGAGCAAGGATCTCTGTTCTGATGACATGTGTTTCCATCTAACACACAATACCTAGAATTTG